TCCGAAACTGAAACTTAAATAGTTTCGTTTGCTTTCCTCAAACTTTGCAAAGTGCGCCACTCAAGCGAAAAACCTGCCTGCAAGCAAGCCAGGAAGCCACCTGTTGTAACCTTAAGCCAAGCATTGAGGAACGCAAGTGTGGGGAGTCGTTCACGCTGCAAAGAAAACCTCAAAATCAAATCAAAATGAAAAACGAAAGGATGTCGGTCTGATTCCAGTATAAAAGATTGGCAATGTGGGGTTTATTGAGACACAAAAGAACTTCCCTGCAATGAAAAAAGAGGGCTCAAAGCTTCGCCCACAGTTGCTTTGAACGATAGCCAGAGTTTCCATAGCTACAGAGAATAATTGCTGGCAGCCAGAAACATTAAGGGAGGCAGAGAGAAGTGAATTGATCCACTTTGGGGTATTTTTTTTTTCCCCTTCCCTCTTTCCTTTTTGCTTTGATGCAATTTTTTTTTTTGGTGGAGCATTGGGTAGCCTGGGAAAAAAAAGACAAAACTGCTGGTCCCTTAGGATTTGCAAATAGCTTAGTGTTGTGGCCTGCCAGCAGACAGTGAGGAGGTCGGGAAGGAGCCTGGGCCAGTCCTGGAGTCTGGAGAAGGCACGGACGAGGGCTCTGCATCTGCCTTCAGAGTCGGAGATCAGTGGGGCAGAGGAACAGCTGGAGCCTGTTCCCGATGTGCGCATGAGCAGAGCTGCCAGGAGAAGGGAACAATTAAGGAACAAGAGTCGACTTGGGAGTAAAGGCACAGGTGGACGGTGAATGGTCCCTCCCGTAGGGAATAAAGAGGAGCAAAAGGGGAGTGAGGTTTGCAGGAGACAATCAGTTCATTTAATTAGGGTGAAGATTTGTTTGTGACTCCTTGCCAAGTATTTTCTGGTACAGTGTTGCCCTTGAAAGCGGTCATGCCCTTGTTGGAGTCTGATTCTGAGGGGGAGATTGAGCAGCTGACAGGGAGTGGGAGTGTGGCTCCAGTGGCTGTGGAAGAAATGGGGGAAAGGCATAGTCCGGTTGGGCCTTTAGACAAAGATCCAGGGCCACCCTCTCTTCATCCTAGGGCACGCAGGGAGGAATGGAGAAGGAAGCAATGTGGCTTACAGGAGAGAAAAGGGCCCTGATCCTTTTCATTAGTTGCAGCTGGGAGAACAGGATGTTTGCAAACAGCACCTTGCTGGAAGCAAAGCCTGCATTATCTTTGTCAAGGCTTATCTGGGTTTTGGCGCCTTCCCAACTGTGTGTGTGTGCTTCGTTATCTGTTGGAAGTCTGCAATTTATTATCCTGGCCTGTCGTGTAAATTACTTCAGCGTGGTTTGTTTTGGGTTTTTTTTATTTCTGATTTATCTCTACTTTGGGTTCGAACTGCATTTCTTTCCTTCGTAGATTGTTTTTGGAAGAGTTTGATCTCCAGCCGAGGATAACTGGACATTGGGGGCCAAGTTGGAGGCATTAAAGGGAATTTATTTACTTTTGTGACTTTGTGATTTTTGTGCCATGGCCCAGGTCATCATAGAAGCTATTAGCCTGGCACCTCTCCAAGATCAGATCCGTGGTTGCAATTCACCCTTGAAAGATTGTTTGCTGGGACTTTGCTGGATGTGAATGGGAAGAATTCACATTAGCTTAATAAAAAGAGCTTTTCTGCTTAGGGATTTTGTGAAGCCTAGGTCAGAACACCTGGCACCTGGCGGAGATCCGTGTTGGGATTGTTGAATTGGCTATGAATCCAAAAATTAAGGCACAGATTGTCCTTGACTTACAACCACAAGAGAGACCCAGATTTCCGTTGCTAAGCAAGACATTGGTTAAGCGCACTTCGCTCCATGTTAGGATCCCTTCCTTGCGACAGTTTGTTAAGGGAATCACTGCCATTAAGTTAGTGACATGGTCATTAAGTGAATCTGGCTTCCCCTTTGACTTTACTGGTCAAAAGGTCACAAAACGGGAATCCCATGAGCCCTGGGATGCTGCAACCGTCATAGATAGGAACCAGTGGCCAAACATCTGAATTTTGATCCGTGGGGAGGCTGCAATGGTCGTTAAGTGTGAAAAATGGCCATAAATCCACTTTTTTCTGGTACTGTCGTAACTTTGAACCAGTTGCTAAATGAACTGTTGTAAGTGGAGGACTACCTGCATTTCTCTTTTAGTTCTGCCAAGGTGTAAATCCAATGTGGTTTTTTTAAAATCCTAAAACCAGAATTTGAAGGTGGGAGTTTTGGTCTTCTCGTTTTCAGGTCACCTCGGTTCACAAACACGAACTTAAAACCATGTTTGTAAATTAGGATGCTTTCCCCAACCCTCCTTTTTAGAATGAGTGAGTTGGAAGGGGTCTTGAAGGTCTTCTAGTCCAGCCCCCTGCTAAAGCAGGAGACCCTATGCTATTTCAGATAAGCGACTGCCTAGAGATATCATTTCAAACAAAGGATTGTCCGATTGCTTCTTAAAAACCTCCAATGACGGAGCACCCAAATTTTATCATAATTTATGTTAATGTATCCAGATAATTACAGAACGTAGAATAATAGAATTGTAAGGGACCTTAGAGATCTTCTAGTCCAATCCCCTGCCCAAGCAGGATGTCCTCTACCATTTCAGACACATGGTTGTCCAATCCCTTCTTAAAAACCTCCAGTGTTGGAGCGCCCACAATTTCTAGTGGCAAGCTGTTCCACTGGTTAATTGTCCTCCCTTTTGAGAAGTTCCTCCTTAATTCCAGGCTGCTTCTCTCCTTAATTAGTTTCCATCTGTTGTTTCTTCTGCTTCTGGTGCTTTGGAGAATAATTCGACACCCCCCCTCTTCTTTCTAGCAGCCCCCCCAAATATTAGAATACTGTTCTTCTTTTCTCTAGACGAGCCAAACCCCAAATCCTACAGCCTTCATTATGCATCACGGGCTGGACTTTGCCTTCCATCATGTTCAGCCAGCTGCTGAACCCCTCCAGGTTTAAAGGGGAGGGATGCATGGACTTTGTAGTCCCTTTGTAGCAGCGGCAAAGATAGAGGGTCGGAACTTTGAATCCGGCTCCAGTCCTCGGATGGTGGATTCCTCAGCTTGTTCCTGGGCAAGCTCTGCTACTCCCTGTCCTATAAACAGTGGTTTGCTTATTGTGGTTGGTAGGACAACCCCCCCTTCAACCCCCCCATTGGTTGTGTTTGCACGAGCCCCCGCTAAACGAAGCAGCTCTTCAGCCAAAACATCATGTGACGGTTGTGATCATTAAGCAATTTGCCCAAGGTCATTAAGCAAGGCGGGACCGCCATTTGCAACTTGTTGCCCGCCTTCCTCATTGACTTAACCGGTTGGAAGCCAGCTTGGAAAGTCGCAAGCAGTGATCATGTAACTTGCAGGGAAGTTGTGACGGTCATAAGTCTGAGGATCGAGGATAAGTTATTTTCTCCCCCCCCCCAAAAAAATGTGGCAGTAACTTCAAAAGCTTGCTTAACGGATGGTTGTAAGCTTAAGGACAGAGGGGAGTAGTGAAATGCTACCGGTTTGGACCGGTTTGCCCAACCCGGTAGCAAAAAATTGCTACCGGTTTGGCCAAACAGGAGATTTTGCAGTACCCACCAACCCACGCCTACAGAACCAGTAGTAAAAAAAAAATTTGAATCCCACCACTGCTGCTGCGCACACACACGAAGTGCGCGATCACCAAATTGGTAGGGAAACTGGTAGAATCCCACCATTGTTTTGAAAAGGCTACTGACTCTGGAAACAGGTGTACGTTCAACTGGTGAGGCTACTTTCTCCAACTTTTTCCGGGAGCGGAGAGGGAAGCTGAGGCTACCCAAGAATGAAACCTCTGGGGACAGTTTTGCAAAGAGCCTCTTTCGTTTACGCAACCTCGGGAGCAAATTCCGAGGAAGCCGAATTCTGTTGGTGGTACGTTGGACTTCCTTTTTCTCTTCCCTTTTGGAAATCATGCAAGGCGGGGGAAAAAAAACTATTTCAATGCTGCAATGGATGAAGGGGAAGGCAAATGAACAAAAAGCAAGCTTGCTTTGGAGAAAACGGTTGGGTCAACTTTGCTACTGCCACAAATTATGCCGGGTGTAACTAGGTCTTATTTCAGGATAGGAGTGGAGGGCTTATTTAAAGCACCTGTAGGTTAAGTGGAACACCTGGAGAACCGGGTGTGGGGGTGGGGGACTTTCAATAGAAATCCTGACAAAGCAAAGTGTGCCTTCCTGTGTATAGGTAGTCCTTGAATTACGACCACACTTCAGCCCAACGTTCCTGTTGTTAGGTAAAGACATTTGTTAAATGAGTTTTGTCCCATCCCAAAGGTGCTTTTTCAGGAGATAACTAGACTTCCTTGTTTTTCTTTCGAAGGCATTTCACTTCTCATTCAAGAAGCTTCTTCAGCTCCAACCGGGTGGTGGGGAATGGAATAATTTGTATTCCTGGTAGACAGTTGGTCATTTGCATCCTTTTAGAGGGTGGTTGAGGCCACCTGGAGGTTTATCCGTGTCCTCAGGGTCACCTGAGTGGTGCAAATGGTTCCTGTGGTCTGCAATTTTCTTTTTTTCTGGAAATCCATTCCTATTAGTGCTAAAACTCCCAAGTGGCCTCAGTGACCCTCTGTAAAAGGATGCAAATGACCAGCTAGCTGTCTGCAAGGAATAAAAATCTTTCCATTCCCCAACACCTGGTCAGAGCTGAAGAAGCTTCTTGAAAGAGAAGCAAAATGCCTTCAAAGAAAAACCAGAATGTCCAGAAAGAAGTAAATTATTGTTATTGTTGTTGTTGTCGTTGTCGTTGTCGTTGCTGCTGTTGCTGTTGAATTAATATCAACGGGATGAATTTTCTTGTAAACATTTCAATTCTGATATTTTAATAAAATAACTGCACCCAGACAACACACTGTTTAATTGAAATTGAATTTTTATATGTTGTATAAATAAAACAATTTAAAAAATTGGGGGGAAAAAAACCCCTGTCTCAAACTCAACCCCCCCCCCTTTTTTTTTTCCCAACAGGACTCTAATCCAGCCTTCTTTGTTTCCCTTCCAGGAGCAACAGGAAATGGCCGGGATGAGCATCGTGGGCCCAAACTTCCTTAGTGCGTCGCATCGCTGATTCTTAGGAGAGGCCCCCAAAAGAAGACTGCTCCCCCCCAACCCCCCTTTGGCAATGGCTGGATCTACGCAACCGGCAACTCAGACCTGGCGAGGGGCCGAAAGCCACTACCCCTCCCATGCCATGTCCTACCCTGTGGTGTTAAATCAGCCCCATGTGGTGAGTTGTCTTCTCTTCCCTCCTGGTTGGACTGAGTAGAGTAGAGTTGAGTTGAGTTGAGTTGAGTTGAGTTGAGTTGAATTCTTGATTGGCCAAGTGTGATTGGACACACAAGGAATTTGTCTTGGTGCAAATGTTCTCAGTGTACATAAAAGAAAAGATACATTCGTCAAGAGTCAAGAATCATCAGGTACAATGATAGTCATAGGGTACGATAAGAATAGAATAGAATAGAATAGAATAGAATAGAATAGAATAGAATAGAATAGAATAGAGAATCGAGAAGGGAAGGGAAGGAAAAGGAATAGAATTCTTTATTGGCCAAATATGACTGGACACACAAGGAATTTGTCTTGGTGGAAATACTCTCAGTGTACATAAAAGAAAAGATACATTTGTCAAAAGTCAAGAATCATCAGGTACAACACTTAACGATAGTCATAGGGTACAATAAGCAATCAAATCATACTAGGAAACAGTCAATATAAATCATAAGGATACAAGCCACAAAATTACAGTCATACAGTCACAAGTGGGAGGGGAGAGGTGATAAGGAGTGATGAGAAGATTAACTAATAGTAGTGCAGACTTAGTCAATAGTTGGACAGTGTTGAGGGAATTGTTTGTTTAGCAGAGTGATGGCATTCGGGGAAAAACTCTCCTTTTATCTAGTTGTTCTGGTGTGCAGTGCTCTATAGCATCATTTTGAGGGAAGGAGTTGAAACAGTTTATGTCCAGGATGTGAGGGGTCTGTAGATATTTTCACAGCCCTCTTTTTGACTCGTGCAGCATGCAGGTCCTCCATGGAAGGCAGGTTGGTAGTAATTCTTCTTTTTCTGCAGTTCTGGAGAATCACTCTCTGAAGTCTGTGTCTCGATTACAGACACATTGAACATCGCTGACGTTGGCTGGCTGTGGGGCGTGCCAGTGGGGTGAGAGTGGGCTTCTGGGTCATGAGGACTAGAGCCTTGGGGGTGGTCTTGGTGAAGGCGATGATCGTGTGATCGGAATTTGGGGGGTGCTTGGCCAGCAGGATGGTTTAAAACAGTCGCAGCCTCCCCAGGGGTTTTTGGGTTCGCCGTTTGTGAGATTCCAAGCCAGCTTCCGACAAGCAAAGGCAACGGGAGAAGCCGGATTTTCTCAGTGACCAAGCAATTCACTTAAAAACCACAGTGATTGACATAAAAACCTGGCACAAAAAGTGGTAGGAGCCCGGGTGGTACAAGTGGTTAGAAGGCAGTTTTGCAGGCTGACTCTGCTCATTGCCAGGAGTTCGATCCTGACTGGCTGAAGGTTGACTCAGCCTTCCGTCCTTCCAAGGTCGGTAAAATGAGGATCCAGATTGTTGAGGGCAAAAGGCTGACTCTGTAAACCGCTTAGAGAGGGCTGTAGATCACTGTGAAGTGGTATATAAGTTCTTTTGCTATTTCTCTTTCCTTCCTTCCTTCCTTCCTTCCTTCCTTCCTTCCTTCCTTTCTACCTTCGCACAATGGTTGGAATGCAACATTGCAGGCTGATTCTGCCCACTGCCAACAGTTCAGTTCTGAGCGGCTCAAGGTTGCCTTGTCCTTCCGTCCTTCCAAAGGCGGTAAAATGAGGATCCAGATTGTTGAGGGCAAAAGGCTGACTCTGTAAACTGCTTAGAGAGGGCTGTAGATCACTGTGAAGTGGTATATAAGTTCTATTGCTATTTCTCTTTCCTTCCTTCCTTCCTTCCTTCCTTCCTTCCTTCCTTCCTTCCTTCCTTCCTTCTTCCTTCCTTCCTTCCTTCCTTCCTACCTTCGCACAATGGTTGGAATGCAACATTGCAGGCTGACTCTGCCCACTGCCAACAGTTCGATTCTGAGCGGCTCAAGGTTGCCTTGTCCTTCCGTCCTTCCAAAGTGGGTAAAATGAGGACCCAGATTGTTGGGGGGCAGGAAACTGAAACGCTTAAGAGGGGGCTGGCTGCAAAGCACCGTGAAGCAGTCTATAAGCCTGAAGCGCGATGACTGTTGTAAAATCAGAAGCAATTCCCTTAACCTACCTCGCTTAGCCACGGAAATTGCCGCCATCGATCAAGGACTACCTGTACCGTTAGTCCTTTGCGTTTGCTGGGTCAGCCCTGAGGCTGACATTTATGGATCTTCTGTGGACGAAGGAGGATTGGAAGGGAAACCCCCATTCCTTTCCTCGTGTGCCTTTTAGACATTTACAAAGTCTGGACAAGCCATGCTGCATTTTTGGAAACAAAGCCCAGCTGAGCTGAGGTCAGATTTCTTTCAAGCAAACTTGAGAGACAGAGAGACAGCCGGCCGGGAATCGGAAATACACTGATGACGTCAGAACTGAGTTTAAAATTCCCCACTCCCACCCCCAAGGGAAGAGGCTGTCTCCTTGCAAGGCAGAAAGTCTGCATAAAATAAACCATAATTACTGACACTCATATGGGACTTACTTGCACTTTTATTCCTCGTTGTCCCGCGACTCGGGAATGGATGTTTGTTTTCCTGCTTTGCTTTCTAGATCCAAAACAAAAGACTCTTTTTTTTTTTTTTTGGAAGGGAGAACAGAGAAAAGAGAGATCAAAAGGAGCCCATTGTAATATAAGATTTGCCCAAAATAGCCCCTGAGCTCAATAAAAAAAGAAAGAAAGAAAAAAAAACCCGCAATCTTATCATGAGAACTTAAGACTCTTAGAGGCAGGGAACTGTGCCAGGTATTATTATTAGCATTTGAATAATTCCGACTCCCCGCAGGCTTACAAGATAAAAATTCAATAAAAAGGAAGAAAAGGGAAGACAAGAAAATAAGGTTAATCCACCCACTTAAGCACAGCCTGAACTCCCAAATGGCTTGTACGTAAAACCAAAAACGGGGATAACAATAGCAAGATCAAAAGTGGAACAGTAGAATAGAATAACAGAGTTGGAAGGGACCTTGGAGGTCTTCCAGTCCAACCCCCTGCCTAGGCAGGAAACGGTAGACCATTTCAGACAAATGGTTGTCCAATCTCTTCTTAAAAACCTCCAGTGTTGGAGAATTCACAACTTCTGGAGGCAAGTTGTCCCACTTGCAAGTTGTCCCATTGTTCTGACTGTCAGGAAATTTCTCCTTAGTTCTGAGTTGCTTCTCTCGTTGATTAGTTTCCACCCATGGCTTCTTGTCCTGCCCTCAGATGCTTTGGAGAAGAGCTTGACTCCCTCTTCTTTGGGGCAGCCCCTCAAATATTGGAACACTGCTATCATGTCATTCCTAGTCCTTCTTTTTATCAAACTAGACATACCCAGTTCCAGCAACTGTTCTTTATATGTTTTAACCTCCGGTCTCCTAATCATCTTTCTTGCTCTTCTCTGCACTCTTTCGAGAGTCTGAACTTGGGTGATGGATGATCACATCTCCAAAGTTTGATGGGGGGAAAAATTCTAAACCTTCCCAGTAACCGAGTTAACTTTTTTTTCTTTTTCTGGGAATTTGGCTGTTAATTTTATTAATTTATCAGCAGCGTAGATCCACCTCCCACTTCCTCAATCTTGTTTGGAATTTCCCTGGTCAGTTGGAGGCCCTTGAAATGGCTGGCAACCTTCCCAAGCTGTCGAAATCGAACCATCTTGAGAAGAGAAGCTTTAATAATCTACAACAAGAGCCTCCAAACTTGATGACTTTAAGACTTGAGGACTTCAACTTCCAGAATTCCCCAGAAAGGCCCTTAATAATCTACAACAAGAGCCTCCAAACTTGATGACTTTGAGGACTTCAACTTCCAGAATTCCCCAGAAAGGCCCTTAATAATCTACAACAAGAGCCTCCAAACTTGAGGACTTGAGGACTTGAGGACTTCAACTTCCAGAATTCCCCAGAAAGGCCCTTAATAATCTACAACAAGAGCCTCCAAACTTGATGACTTTAAGACTTGAGGACTTCAACTCCAGAATTCTCCAGAAGGGCCCTTAATAATCTACAACAGACTTGTGGACTTCAACTCCAGAATTC